CCCGTTAGTACGAAAACCCATGTTGCGCACGGTCTGCACCCGCCTTCGTGACCCGTCTCTCCCACAGTTTGCTAACTGACAATGGCACGTCGCACTCTACAAATGACTAAGTCATAACCCCGCACTCCTCTTTGCCGAGGCTGAGACCTCCGCAGACCTGTCTCAGCATCAGCAAGAAAGTAGGGTAGGGGGCAAGGTTCCCTCTCGTCCACCTCCAGCAAACTCTTCCACTGAAGCCAAGGCCTCCCAACAGTAGGGGTCACCATGACATCCCTTAGAAAACAACATGAAGATCAAGTCGACACCACCATAGGCCACGCCATGTTCGTCCCCGATAGACTGGGGCCGAGATCCTTATTTGGAAGGTCTAACAGCACCTCCCAACACAACCAATGCACTCCCTTCGGCCAAAGCTGAGGTCCCTAGCACAGACCTCCACCACGGCCTCAAGAGTGGGGGGGGGGGGCAAATGATGCAGGCGCATGCGGCCATGACCAATAGCGGACATGCGCATGTTAGGCGACGAAGTTCAGGGCGGATCCAATCATGTGTGCGCAAAACTGAGCTCGGCGTATATTCTGGAGCCAATGGCGCGAGCTCACTTGGTGACCTTGGATGACCGTGCAACTCACGTACAGACTGCATTGGACCATCCGAGCCCACCTGCCTCTAGGCGGCCTCAAGTATAAATAAGGGGCAACCCCCTCGAGGTAACCATCTACACACCCGCAACTGGAACTTAGGCTCAAGAGCAAAAGCTTGGGAATATTTAATCTCCTTTGTGGCCTCGTCCACCTCGTGCCTCCTAATATAACTTGACCATCCGAGTCTCCACCTTGGGTATTCACCCGAGGCCTCTAACGTTACTCTTCATCTACTCTTTGCAGGATTGGTGCCCCACAAGTCATCGGCTCCTTAAGACCTCGGACTCCTCCACCGCTCCTTGGCACCTCGGCACTCGGCTTGTGAGTAAATTGACTGTATTGCCCTCGGCCCATTTTGACCGGCAACAATAACCAATATATACCGTACTTCTAGTACACAGTACAACAAAAGACGTAATTGGTTGAACACGATGATAAATACATAAACATCAACTAATGAAAAGTAAACAATTTAATATAATTGGTTGATAATGTATAACTAGTATAATATTACTAGCTAAATGCATCATAATTTATTGAATGAAGAAATTAGAGGGGAATAGTTGAACTAATCTTACCAAAGAACGTTTGTATTTCATCGTTTAATTAATGAAGTAATTAATCTTATTACTTCGACTACTAGTCATTGTCTGCAATTATATATTATATCAAATTAAATAAGATAGAGAGGTCTTGAACGTTGGTGTCAATTATGTCATCCTCCTGCTCGGTTTCACATCTCAGCGTACCAAAAATCTCAAAAGAGTTGAGATGAGGCGAAAGACCCACTACTATTCTATTAGTGAATGAGCAATTACAGAAAAAAGACATGGTGTTGGTTTTCAGTGACGCACCACACCACATCGCGCTTTCAAGCGGGGAGAAAAAAATAATCTAAGTTGTATGCCTTTTTAGTAGACATGCATGGACACCTCACTCCAGCGGTCCAGCCATTTGTTAGCAGGGGTGCCCATCAAAGCTCTTCATGGCTTAAGCTACCTCTGTCCATTGGCACTCTGTAGTTTTTGAAAGACAAGTTTGAAACACGCTAGCTAGTTTCACTCTCCACTGACGTAACCAATTTTGTTAATTAATTTGCGTTTGATTTAGGTGTATATATATATATATAATAGTATAAAGTCATAAGAAACAGAAATGTTCATGCATAGCTAAGGGTTTTTATATAGAATATAAACCCTTAAATAATGTTTAATTCACTTAGTCTTGATCATGATGTCCACTCTCCATTCTCTATGCTAAATACAATAACCCTAGCTATTAGCTAACTCGCTTTAAATTGTCTTTCTTTCTGACTATTTTCATCACCCACAATGAATATTTAATCAATAATAGACCGAACCCATCTTTGTTTTTAGGCTTTAAGTGGGCAAGGAGACCCAAAATATCACTCTTTAGCTAACATCATCATCACAGACTCGCAGCCCACATTTTCAGTCACGAAACCAGTTAAAAGAAAGAATCAAACGCAAGAGAAAGATCCCCTTTTTTTCTCTCAACTCATGTGACTGAGCTTTTTTTACATTACAGATATTAATGGCTGCACACCTGCTTTCATCATCTGATCCAATCACAAATTTACAGTATTAATTTACTTAAGGCTTTCTTCAGAAATGCACCCAATTAAACCCAAGCTTATTCTTCACTTGATTTACCAACTGTTCATCTTGGGTCTCTTTGATTTACACAATTATTAATTATTTCCTGTTTCTCCTTTCTCATAACAAATTAAAGCATCCCAAAAAGAAGCAAGAAAAACCACAGCCTGCCTTCTTTGATTTCTCCTTTTCTTCTTACCTCTCATTTTTTGTCTTTATTCGTACTAAGGGGCATCAAATTAAATTAAAGGTATTATCTTATTAATTAATAAAACCTTCAAATCACTAGAAAAGACTACTCAAGCAATACAAGCCCATGATCCTACTATTTTCACATATTCTCTTAATTTTTTTTTTTAACTCTCTGGACAAGACCTCACTGCTCTTATTTGACTGACTGATCCCTTGATAAGCCAAGTGGGCAACTGGCATATTTTTTTTTATCATGCATCAATAGTACCATACAATGATACAGGTTCATAATTAAGTTTGCTCTGCATTTGGGTGGTTTCTGTCTAGGGCAAGCTTATAATTTCAATTTTCACATATTAATTGTATATACGTTGACTGCATTTTATTATATCTTTTGTTTTAAATTTATTAACAAAAGAAAAGGAATTGAAAAGAATATATATATATATATATATATATATAAGATAGATAGATGAGTGCTTACGGAACCATTAACATTATATATTTAGATTTAAGATAAATTTTCTTTTACTTTTATTAATTTATTTTTTGATAGGCGAAGCATTAACATTCAATTGTGACAAAAACATGACAGCCTTTGTCTCCTTGCCACACTTGCATTCTTTATGGTTGAGAAGAAGAAAAAGAGAAACAATGAAGCATGGAAGGACAAATGGGTGATTCAATTTCACAAAGAATCTTTCAATTATTTTATTTGAATAGTTGTTTAATTGAGATGAAGTACAAATTGATGAAAAGTTCGAGAAAACCAAGCTTGTCTTTCAGGATAAAATCATGTTGAGCCTAATTGCTTTGTCCCCTCCTGGCCTCACATGAAAAGCTAACCATGTAAAACTAAGAGAGCTCCATTACTTTAAGTTACCATGTCTTAATATTTACCAAACATAAGTAAATAAAAGCATTTAATCTGTTTATTAAGAGGCACTAAATAGTTTAGTCTCTGATGGATTGTAATGGGTGGTTCAAACTTCAAACTTCAAGTAGGGAACCTTGTAGGGGTGACAAATGGGTACCCATGACTGACCCAATCTAACCAACCCATTTTACCTGACCCAATGAGCGTGATTAGACCCATATTCAACTCACATTTTAAATGGGTGCATGGGTTACAAGCAGGTGGGTTTGGGTGGATCAAGTGGGTTGGGTCAGATTACAGAACAAGGAAAAGTTGTTTGTTATTTTATGATTCAAATTGTGTTTTCAGACACTATATATCACTTCAAGTCATGAGAGAACCCTATCCAATTACAATTCCACTACTTCAACTGCTATGTTAATACTATAGATTGATTCAAGTGGGGAAACTGTGATCCATGTGCTAACACCTCTAACAGCAATTGGATTTGGGATGATCTGAAATGTGATGGACCCCATTAATCATTTTGCTTCAAAGGGTAGGCCTGATCAAGCAATCATAGCCATCAGATCTAACATATCATTTGTTCAAGTTTTCCAGTAGAGCCACGTGGAAAAAAGGAGGTGGACCATGTCGCAATTGGGTGCCACCCACTCCCCAGCCCAACCCACCCTGGTAACAATTTTCCTAGAGAGACAGCCAGACAAGAATCTTAGTTCTTCCCGTCTCTAAGTGATTACCTTTGACCAAAATTACACTCCAAAGGTATATTCAGGTCAAATATTCTTCGAATCCCATACAGTAACTGGAGGATACTGGACAAATCATGATGTGGGTATATGGCATATCAGCCTAGATGTGGGACCCCTATATGGGACTGTAGACAATTTCCACTTGGTCAAATTCTGATGCCCAATATTACGAGTAGAACTGTAGACAATTTCAACTTGGTCAAATTGTGATGAGAGTGCTTGTGAGATGTAATTCTTCTTCCTATTTTATCTGTTTACAAGAAAGATCTAATCACTGCTTTGGATTCCTTTTTTCTTTTTCAACCACGTCTTAATCACTCAATGAACAAAGGCAGGCTACTGGTAGGCTTAAGATGGTCAATAATCAAACGTGGGTATCAAGAATGACAGAGATATTTTTCTCATCTCTGAAGCAACATTGGCCGGTATAGCTCTATTCTCATGGGCAGATTTATTCATTCAAGAACTGTTTGATTGTACCAAATTCTGTTCAGAGCTGAGTAACAAAATGAAAAATGAATCCAGAGAAATTATGATATAGAGAGGAGGAAAAAGGTGTTGAAACCTCTGTAGAAGTAAACTGTGTGAAATGAAATCTGTTTCACTAAACATAATTTGCTTCAGTCCAAATAGGCTGGCTTATTTTTGTACACCATTTGCCGTCCCCTACCCATGTTTACAATAAAATACCGAAGTTGGATCAAACAAATTTAATAAAAGAACAAGCACCAACCATCCGATTTCTTAAAAAATAAAATCATCTCCTAATGTGTCCAATCATGCATAATTCCAAGAAGACGTATGATTGCATCACCACCAATAATGATAATATATTTCTTCAAATAGAATTAACAACAGCAATAATTCAGCAGTTAAACCTTCTAACATAAAGAAAAAAAAAAAACAAGAGCATCAACAGTGATGGAATAGTTGGGAGTGAAAAGATATATTATTTATAGAGAGACCAATTACATATATAGCTCTCTGATCCATGTTTAATTACTTTTATCCCATTTACAAGCCAAAAACCCAATAACTAAATCCCTCTACCACCACACCACTCTCTCATTATCCTTTTCTTTTTTTTTTGTTCAACTCAGGCCGAAGAGAATTAAGAAAAGACCTTTATGCCTCTAAGCTCACGAGATTGATGAACTGAGACAGCAGAACAACAACCAATTGACCAGCTCCAGTAAGAGTTCAGTACTGGAAAATGTCTGCAGAAGCCATGATGGGTTGATTCAGATACATGGAATTCCACGGGTTCACGAGGCTTTCGGTGTTGATCTGAGGATCTTCAGTCTCGAAAGCACTATTGTTTGGACTCAGGTAATGGATGATCTCGTTCAGAGACTGTAATCTATGATTTAGCTCTCCCATTTGAGCCCTCAGTATCGAATTCTCGGCCTCAATGGCCAAGTAGTGCTGGGTGGTGATGTTGATACTCGTCAGGATCTGGTTGTTCTCTTTCCTGAGCTGAGCAACTTGGGCCATGAGATCGTCCAAGTGCTTCTGTTTCCGCATCCTCGATCGCCTCGCAGACTCTCTGTTCGAGAGCATTCTCTTCTGTTTCCTTTGATCCATTGCAAGCCGGAGGTCCTCCTCAGAACCAGAGTTCTGAAGCGTTGAAGACCCTGAAGAACCTGAGGAAGTCCCACTTGAGGAAGCCATGGTAGATTCACGGTAGAGAGATTAAAAGTACAACCTCAGAAAATATTAAAAAAAAAGATTTTTCTGATTGGACTAGATTTATAGAACCACAACAAGCAAGACCCGGATAGCAGATACTAATTATTTAAGGATATTTTGTAGGAATAATATATAGCTATAAATAGATAATATATCAGATTTTGAAAATTAGTTCATGAAAAAACATAGAACCAGTAAAGGAATACAACAGAGAACGACTGAACTAAATGGGTCCTGCGTCTCAGTGTCGAATTTATCATAAACCCCGAGAGAAGGATTTCACTGAGAATTGGAGACATGAATCTGAAACATCAAGAACAAGATATTAAGCATCAAGGTAGCGGTAAGAGAGCTCCTCGTACAGATATAAGTAGTAGGATAAGTGTAAGTGTATCAAAATTCAAAACTCCAACCTTCCGCAGAAACGTCGAAACCTTTGAAGAAAAGCCAAGAAAGAAAAGAGAACACCCAAGAGAAGAAAAGAAAACTTTGATTTTTAGAAAAACAAAAGAGCAGCTAAAGATTCAGCAAACCAACATCAGAGGCAAATAAACCCTGTAATCTGAAAACAAAAAACCAGGATCTTTGCCCCAAATCAAGGAACTCGCAGAGATCCGGCAGAAGGGCGCCTTCAGCTTCGTTCTGAAAAGCAAAACCAACCCTTCAATTCAGAACTCCAAACATCAAGATCATTACTGATCACCCCACCCTTGGAAACAGAGGAATTGACACTGCAAAACTCCAGAACCTCAGATCTATCTGAAGAACTGCAGAAGGAAAAAAGAGGAAACAAAAAGATAATTCAAGATTACAGGAAAGGAAGGAGAAGGGAAGGGCTTTGAAGAGCGTAGATAGTGGGATTTATAGAACCCAAAAGCACGACAGCAGAAATAAAATATTCAAGAAAAAGAAGAAGCAATAATATTAAGAAAAGCGGAATTAAAACAAGATTAAGAACAAAAACATATTAAAAGTGGAGAGAGCTTTGGAATTGGAATGTCCTGTGGAAGTTGTTGGGACTTGGGAGGGGCGATGAGGGCATGTGGGGTGGAAAGGAATTTCCAGTTTTCTACAACCGTCCAACTCCAGCTGGTAAGCAACCAAACAAAAATTTACAGGCCAGGCCAGAGAAGGAAAGACCTCTCTTTCACCACACGTACCAGATTTACCGTTAGATCTCTTCTAAATTCTTATGTCACTTTTACCCCTGGAATAAAGGGTGGAGGTGGTATTGTAACCACCGCACGAGGCATCATGGTCATTACGCAATGTAAAGGTATAGTAAATTTATTATTATTTTTTTAAATTCTTCTTCGTATTATACACTGAATTAATGATAGATAAATGCTTAATTAAATAAAATAGAGATGAAAAATTAAAACGAAAGAGAGAAGAAAATATATTTTGATTTTGCGAAATAATATAAAAAGAAAAGAAAAATAAAATAAAAGGCTCTATATTTCGTGAAGTACTTGTTCGGATGATGGTTTAGCTGGCCAAGGATGCCACGTGGTTATCTCCGCAGCATCCCTTCTTAGGCTATGTCGGTATCACGTTTAATAGAAGAGCACGATTAAGAAGGAGTATCCTGTAGGGACAAAGAAGCGAACTCCGCTGGAAAAGGAAACCTCCTGAGATTTCGGCGGATGCCTTTATCTCGATAACCCCGGAAGCCCTAGCCATCTAGGATATGGACACCCAACTATAATTAGGTATTCCCTGCTTGAGGTAAGGGACCTTTTTGGGACTACAGTCATTGAATACCTTTTTCACTATTTCTTCAACTTGGACCAATGCTATTTCAACCTACTCGGCTCGGTCACATCCTTCTCGATTCTACTAACTTGAGTGTCGGAGTACCTACCCGAGGAACAACTCCTCAAGCCTCTAACCTTTCTCCTAGTTGCAGATCTCGGTGCACCGCTTCATCCTTCCACCTCGGCCTCGTCCAATTGTTAGGACTATCTGATTGTGTCATCAATTTGGAACACCTCAGATCAGACAACATCAAATTATAGGAACATACAAAAAGTCGTTTCCCAAATCCCTTTCCGCTCACTAAAAGCAACTATGCCTAAGAACAAATCCGATCGCTCTAGAGCCCATTCCCCATCTCGGGGATCCACTCACTTCGCAACTCTCCGCCTCGGGAGCCCTAGCATCAAACAATGGTTAACCCTGCACAGTTCCTTGCCATGTAGCAAAAAGTTGACCATATCTTCACCATGATGGAGATGCTGGGACAACCGGCGCATGCCCACAAGCCACTTGCCCTGCCACGGTTGATCCTCACATTAAGGACCCCAAAAGGCACCATGCAGGTCCGCACGGGGCCTAATCCGATTGCAGTCACGCCAAAAGACCTAACTCCCCAACTTGGCCTCGCGCGCATGACGCCCGTAGTAGATCCCATCACTCCAGTCAAGTGCCAACGAAAGAATGGCTCAGCCAACGTCTATAGCAGTCGATGACCTCGATAGCAGAATCCAACTTGACTCGCGACCAACCTGCGATCCCGAAAGTGGAGAAGTCCGTAAACGTGGTCCCAACCGGTAGAGATTCCGAGATTAGAGAACTGAGAGAGCAGTTGGTCAAACTAGAACGCCACCAAGCGGATAGAAGCACGGCTCCTCCGACGGCCCGACCCTTACAGAAGCACCACATCCAACCCATGAAGGAACCTATCTTTGTCCAAGAGATCGTTGATGAGCTTCCCCCAACCGGCTAGCGGCCCCCTCAGTTCGAGAAATACGATGGAGCCTCGGACCCCAACAATCACAGTGGGGGGTTTAAGGCACTAATGATATTGCACGGCTCCTCCAAAGATCTCATGTGCAAGGCCTTCATCACCACCCTCCACGAAATTGTCAGAACCCGGTACAACTCCTTTCCTCCGCGGTCCATATTCTCCTAGGAGCAGCTTGAGACGCAGTTCCTGGCGTAGTTCACCACCAGCTAGAGGCATTGGAAGATGTCGGCCAGCCTTATGCAAGTACAACAAAGGAAAGGAGAAACCTTGAGAGAATATTTGGCGAGGTTCAACGTCGAGGCCCTTCAAGCCCAGACTCTAGACCAGTTAGTAGCCATGACCACCATCATGAGTGGGCTGCGCTCCTCAATGTTTAGTTTCCCTTTGCAAAAGAACCCTTCGCCCAACCTGACCGTGCTCATGAATCACGCACAAAAGAATATGAATGCCAAAGAGGACCAAGTGCTATGCAAAGAGGATGAAAACTAGCACGACCGGAAGTGCAGAGGCCACGGTGGTCGAAGATCGGACTAAGATGCCAAGAGGCTAGATCGCCGAGTTGACCACAAATTAAGGACCCCGCCACCGACGTATCACAACTTCACTCCACTCAATGCTTCACAAGCCGACATAGTGATGCAAATCCACAACCATAGCTTTGTTAAGTGGCCTGAGAAGATGAAAACCCAGGGGAAGTGGCCCGAGACCACGACAATAACACTGAAAGTTACCACCACCTAGAAGACTCCGTTTGACGGTTATACCTCCATGGATTCATCGATATCAAAGAGCATAAACCCTAGAGAATAACTGCATCGCAAGGACAAGCCCCCAGCCTGAGCTCCCTCAGTCGAGGTCATCGTCATCATCTCAGGCGGGATGGCCCTTAAAAGGGAAACTAGGTGCGGAAGACCTACTCTGAGGAGTTGGAGTGCCAAGACTAAGATGTATTAACAACGATTGGCGTTGAGCACTAACGGCGAATAGGGTTGTGCAAATTTAGTAAATAAAGAATTTTCTTAAGCACAAACGACCAAATGCCTGCACACAGCCTGACCGAACTCCATGCTAACCAATGGTCATAGCACGAAGACAACCTCACGAAAGACCCAACCGACCACAGATGGTCGAGGCCAGAATAAGCCCCTAACGGGCACCGCAAGAACAACGTCCCACTACATAATGACAAGAGGATGGCCATCGAACTCCGCACACCCTCCTGACTCGCAGTAAGAGCAAAGCTGATCGAGGAGCACGGCTAGCCCAATCAAAGAGCGTGAAGCTCTCCAAGACCATGTGCCACTGAGCTCCTCGACAACGTTGGGAGCGTGGAAGCACCTCGGCCAGCATAAGATCGAGGCCCCAAAGTCAAAGACCTCGACCAGCATAAGACCGAGGCCACTAAGCCGAAGACCTCGACTAGTACGAGACCAAGGCCACGAAGTCAAAAACCTCGACCATCTAGTGTCAAGTCCAAGACCTCGGCTCACATGATGCCGAGGCTATAGAGATGAAGACCCCAACCACAATGTCAAGTCCAAAACCCTGACTAGCCTAAGAGCAAGTACAAAAGCATAGCCTATGGTCCCTACTGACCAACCTAATTCCAAAACGCAATAACTTAGAAAAAGAAGGGGAAAACAACACAAAACATGCTCGAAAAAAATATCAAACTTCCATTAATGAAAAGATAGATACAATGATTATATGCTCGACATACCAAGTTGTGTACAACAAAAGAAAGAAAAAGAACATCAATCCAGGTTGGATGTGCTACCTATAGGGTTCACCTCCTTGGGGGTGGTCGCGTTGTCATTCCCGGTAGACTACTCGGCTAGCAGCGCCTCGGCATCAAAAGGCCCATACCACTCCATGGCTGCAGCGATTTCAGGGTGCTCGCGCATGACCCTCCTTTGGCAGCGAGCTAAGCCGAATTGCCAGGAGTCCGTAGAAAAATCATCAAGGACAATCTGGAACTCCTCAGTCAAACTTCTTGTACCTGGCGACTGCCTCCTCCTTGATGTATAATAGTTGTGCCTTTGCCTCCTTAGCAGCCTTCCGCACCTTGTCGCAGTTCCCATTAAGCTCATGAGCATGACTCTTCAGACGCCATAGCTCTTCGTCCTTGGCTGCCATCACTTGTCTTAGCTCGACCATCTCTATCTGTAGGCGGGAGAACTTGCCCTCCCGAGCCTCACCATTTGACGAAGGGCGCGCATTCTATTGACCAATGTCATCACCACAGGCAGCTTGCGAAACACAAAGCCAATGAGCACGACCAAGTAAACCGAAGAAAAGAGAACATTATAGAAATCTTACTACAACAAACTCTCGGATGGCCGTGCTCTCCAGCACCCCGCTCGTGCAATCACTAGTCTCTTTGCAAATGCTAGGCATTGGAATGCCCCTAGCCAACTGCTCGAACATGCCCTTAGTCTCTAGAGTGTCCTCCGACGGAACACTCCAACTCGGCTTATACACCTCGGTTGTCAGCTCTGCCAGACTCGGAGATGGGACCTCCTCAAGACCTCTCTACGGCACGGATCATGGTGGAGACCGGTTAGAGCTGACATCCACCACATCTCCCTCAACTGGCTTTGATCTCTTGCTTGGCCGAGGGTTTGTGACCTTAGGACGGTGCTACTATTGAGCTCAAGGCTCTAGGCTGAGTAGCAGGAGCAACTTTTAATTTGTTATGAGCCCAAACGATGGATTCAATAAGTTCTTGCCAATAACCACGACCGCTATATAGGAAGATTAAACTGAAAGCCCAGACAAAATGCACACCTAGGAAGAAAAGGCCATATGCAGATGATGAAGTACCATACTGCGCAAAGTTTTTGCCCGTGATATGAGTTACCACCCCTTGATCATTTATACTACCCCAAACATCCGACTGCATTTTCCAACTGAAATGGAATATTACTACCGAAATTGCATTGTAGAGAATGAGTCAGTCAAAGCCAAAGAAATGAAACAAGAAGAAACACTTACAAAATCAAAAGCAAGGACAGACCAGTCAGGGGCTCCATTAGCTCGGCATGGACCAACATAGAGAATGATGTGTATTCTTGCACGTCTACCCTCTTTATTCGCTTGATGGCCCCTAACT